CCAGCAGTGATGTGAATTTCTTCACAGAAGTAGTCTATGGCAAAAGTGTATCTCGGTGGTCTTCTTGTTTCCCTTAGCTTTGATCATCTGTATTACGGTGTTATATAAGAGACATGGTTCCAGCTTACTGGTATTCGTACAGAATCGGATTACAATCGCCAATTCTTACTTAATAGCATTTTTTTTTGTTAAAAATTGCTTTGATGGTGAGTGATACTCGCTTGGTTATCGGGGCCATTGGCCCTACATTGACGGTCAAAATAAGCAAATCTGCCGAAAAAGATTTGTAGTGAAATGCACACTTAAAACTCATACTCTTTGATTTGCTTTTAAAATGTATTGGTTTTAGAATGAAAATCTCATGCATAATGAAGAGAACGACACAAGCGATTATCCAAAAGAAATTAGGAGCGGTTTGTTTCTTTGCTTTTTTTCGATCTGAACCGATCGGTAATCTTGCATTCACTTTTGTACTAGTCTCGAATATCTCAGGAGAGCCCTGCACTGACACATCTGAGTGGGATCGATTCGATCATACTCGCCCTCCAGACAAAGGTATGTTTACGAAATGGACTTCATCAGAAATCTGTTATTGTACATTACTATGCGTGCTAATATGAACAGCGAAGACTTTACTTTATAGCTGTGCGGAATGCTCTGCGTGAATATTTGAATGGGCGAAATTGCGAAGAAAGCGAAGAGTTGAAAACTGCTAAAGAAGGATGTCCAAGACCAGAAGGTTTGTGCTTACTTAATCGTTCACTTGGCAACCGCCAATCAGGAGAGACCGCCGCAATGTCAATCTCGATGTTACGTTGACGATTTTTTTTCGAATTTTCACCTGATCGTACTAGGTATGTTTCTTGGGACATCGTGATTCGTATTTATTGTTAACAATTTCTTACCTTTTATATTCGGGCTGCACTTACCAGAGTACGTTTACGTTTTGTGTTTTCCTTTCCTTCAATTTTGGTTTTTCTTCACAGTACGGGATTCCTGTGCTGGTTCACGTTTCTGCTGTGAACAATAGCGCCATGAACCAATAGTCCTCCACTTTCTTTTGGTCTTGTTTGCTGACTTATNGTTTGAAATTACCACTCGAATAACTGGTTTTCGGTGTTGGAATAGAAAAATTCTCCCAAGGCGAACATCTCAATTTCTCAGTGACGCTGACCGGCGACGAAGATCTCCGAAGATTGAGGAAGGTTCCGTATGAGCCGAGGAGATACGAGATGAACAACCTTTGTCTGCTGAGCGGTGATAAAGTACGTTTTAATTACCTAGATAATACGAATCGTTGAACGTTGAAATAAATGAAGTAAATAACCGAAAAACTAGTATTTTGCATGACGAAACTATTTCCGATGTTTTTCTCCAGAACACAGTGGTATATGACTTGTGTTTTATTTCCTTGGTTTTGGATCACTGATAACAAGTTTATTATGATGCGTTTACAAACAGAGCAACTTTCAAGAAGAATCCACTACGACATTTAAGTGAGAAACGAGGGTTTATGTGGTTTTTCCCGAATCATTGTTCATGGGAGCGTCCTTTAAGAGTTGTTGTGACAAATGTGCGAGTGCTGCTGAGCAGTTTTAATAAATTGGGTTTTAACAGATGCATAGCAGTCGTATGGCTTTACCTTTTTTCGTATGGGTTTGTTTATGATGTTAGCTGCGGTTTTTTCTGGACTCTTTACTGAAAGATCCGAGTGATTGTGAGGTACTACTTATCGATTGACCTAACGTTGTGCACTTATGACCATATATCATCATACANATATCATCTGAAGGGTAGCGTGTAAGACTTTAGGAAGACTCTGGAATGATTATACGGTGAGTTTACAGAATTGGTCCGTCAATATTGGAAATGGTGTTCACATTCTCCGTCATTTCATCATTGTTTCGGAGTTCATAGTTTTCGACTATCCAATAGTTATGATAAAGTGCTCGGCAGCTTGCTGGCTAACCTGAATACTCTTAATCAGTGGTTTTTTTTATCGCTGAAATCTATAAGTGTACAGAAGAAATTATGTGTACATTCTGTGACGGCCTAAAACTCGCTTTCTGCACTTTGTTGCGCTTTTCTTTCATTCTTAGAACTTGAAGTGGTTTCCAATCCTGTGGTCCGCTGATGATGCTTGTTGAAGTGGTAATGGTGACAGAGTTCTTACTCATCTTGTATTCTAGTGTAGAAGCGAAGGTTGTCGTGTTTTAGGACTTAGGATATAAGGATCTCGAAAATCATTGGCTGATTGATCGTTGTTCTAAATGGAAAAAGAATGTGATGATTAGCACTCTATTATGACGACGTCATAGTCTTACAAATAGAGTAACACACCAAATGCGATGGGATGGTCCGCTAATAAAGGGAAGAAATGGGGTCCTTTCAAACTTAGCAGTTCAATTTTACTACCAGAATGCATATGCATTCTAATATTATTATGGTGTTACTGTAATAATGATAATGATAATAATACTAATAAGGATTGTAATTATAATAATAATAATTATAATTTTAATTATAATAATGATAATATTAATAATAATTGCAGTCATAATAATAATAATTATAATTGTAATAATAATAATATTAATAATTATAACCATAATAATATTAATAATAAACAATAACAATAATGATAATAATAAACAATAATAATAATAATAGTAGCAATAATATTATTAATGATGATAATAATAATAGTGATAATGGTAGTGGTTGATAATACGAATAACAATTGTCAATAACAATAATAGTAACTAGTAGTAATGTAGTTAATATTAGCAGTAATGATGGTAATAATTAGACTAATAATGATAACAATAATAACAATGAACAATTATGGTAAATAACAGTAACAATAAATAAAAGTCATAAATAATAATTAGTACTGGTTGGCCCGACTTCGCTGGTTGTGCTGGCCCAACATAATTTCCGTTTCTTCGTAGTTTTCCTGGTCTAGCTATTGTAGTTGCCTGCAATCCCGAGGTTCGTCCAGACAAGGTCTGTCCGAAGTCGTCACCACCACACACCGTCGCAGCCCTTGTGGATGAGAGGTAGATTTGCCACTATGCGATTTGTTCGGTACCAGGACGGTGGTGAATCCTGTTATTGGTTTGCTCTTAGACAGGCCTTTTAACGAGAACGCCGGACTGCTTCTTGGCTTGGGAGTCCCTGCCGAGTGGGGTGTGAATGCTCCACTGTACATTGTAGCCCGACACCCATGAGCACCTCCTAGCCACGATGAGGCGGTAAACCGTTGGAAGGAGCAGTCAAAAATACTTACTTGATACTTGAACGGCCTGTTCTCACTAGTTGTGCGGGTCTCAGCATAATCACCATTTTTCGCAGATTTGCTGGCTAAGCCATTATGGTTTCTTGGAATCCCGGGGTCAGCCTGACAACAGTCTGCTCCAGGTCTTCACCATCACAGGCAGTCGCAGCCCTTCTGGATCAAAGAGAGATTTGCCACCATGCGACTTTAATACCAGGGCGGTGGTGGATCCTGGTGGAAACACCGAACTCCTCAGCTTGGGAGACCCTGCCGGGTGTGGTATGAATACTCCACCGATTTCTCATTCCATATCTTCTTACACACGAACCAGTTTGTGTGCTGTTTTTAGCCACACCCAAACGGTTTTTTGAGAATATTCAGCAGTGCGGATCTTTTCATTTGTTATCTGGAGATATTGATATTATTATTCAACGGTATCTTTAGTGAGCTGAAAACCACCGGTTGGATTTGAGCAATGTCTCAACTTGTTTAGTTTTAGCCAGTAAGAGCGAGTAACGCTAAATATTGCAGGTACAATTGACGTGTTTTGTAACCCTAGAGGAGTTTTACGTACGATCTTGTGGCAAGGAGAGCTCTTATAAAAGGATGCTTGAAGACCTGAGGTATGAATCGAAGTAACCTAGTCACCTGTTATTGATCATAGCCACTGAATTTTTTTAAATAGAACAGATAGGTACTTACTGGGTACTCGAACAGCCCGTCTTAACTGGTTGTTCGGCTCCAGCATTATCACCATTTTTCGAAGATTTACTCATGGTTCCCTGGAATCCCCAGGTCTCCACCACCACAGTCAGTCGTAGCCCTTATGGATCAGAGCGAGTTTTACCACCATGCGACTTTGATACTAGGACGGTGGTGGATCCTAATAGTGGTTTACTCTTAGCTAGACTTCTTGGTGGAAACGCCGAACTCCTTTTCGGCTTGGCAGACCCTGCCGGGTCGACTAGTCCCACCGTTTTAGATCGCAGTCCGGCACGCAAGAACATCTCCCAGCCACTATGAGGCAGTGCACTGTTGAAAGGATAAAACGTAGGTGGAAATAATAGTTAAAATATGCCTTCGTTACTGTTTAGCACTGTATGCCACCACACCCTAACACGTCTACAAACAAGTAGCAGCTGCACTGTAGTTCTTGGTTAGCCACCTGTTCGCTACTTCAAGTTTAGTTTTTTACTCACAAAGCTAGTTAGAGTCTCCCATATTATGTGGTTTTACGTATATTTTTCCCCAGGTTGATGCTTGACGAGATCGATTAAAAATAATGAATGAATCTAATCGTCGTGTGCAATCAAGTGGTTTTGACGTCTTAGCTAGGCGCACGATCGTTTTTTAAAAAGCAAAGTTTTTGTTTGTGTAGCGGGTTTTTCAGAAACTTTTACGGTATTAGTGCTTGTTATACTACACTCATTAGGATTTGTCTGCTTTTTTTGTGTGCAAAATAAATGTTACCCAGATCAAGTATTAGTTCTGCAATACCTGTTGAACAGGGTCGACTACAAAAATGCGCTGGAAAATTCTCAACGCGTGGAGTGGTTGAAAGGAGACGGTGTGGCAGTGTGGTATAATCGAATATGGCAGCGTGGCATGGTTTGCGATCCAGTACGGGGCTATGTAAGAACATCTATATTCAATTCTTCATTTACACTTGCATTTTCTCTTGTGCTTTCAAGTTTCTTAGTACAGACAGTTTGGCACACCACAGGTATTATCAGGTCGATACTGTGGACATTTTCCTCATTGATGTGGGAGCAACAGTGATTGTTGGCAAGGATCATTTGGTGCCACTTTGTGATTTCTATCTCCAAATAGCACCATACGCAATTTGTTGTTCCGTCGGGCCATTTCAGATTTCCAGTGGAGTGAGGTTTTAACATATTTTTGAAAGGTTGCTTTTTTCATTATTTCATCGTAATTCACAGTATGTGGAAGAGCATTTACTTTGAAATCCTTTATATTCCCTGTAAACAATATGATGCACCGGTTGAGTTTTTGCAAATTTCTTAAATAATAACTAAATACTGGTCCACGTTGTATCCAAATGGGAGCTTGAGATCGCCGTCGTTGCCAAAAATACTTCCCGTGTTATCTTCCTGTCCTTCCAGACTTAGACAGCACTGCAGTTTTCACACCATTTCTGTATTCGTTCAAGCCAATGCTGCCGTATAGCGGGCTCTTTCCAGTTCAGCAAAATGAGGCTCATTTATTTTTCTGTGTTTAACTACGTTGATATTTACATGTAGCCTGCCTAGGTCTCAGCATGGAGACTGGTTTTAGTCACACGTAACTTTCCAGTATCTCCTGAAGTGAATATGGAGCTTATTCGTTGGTGTTCCTAATCACCTGCAACATATTTCTGAGCCACCTTATTGAACATCTTTAGCAGAATTGGCTTCTAGGATATGATTTCGTGAACGAAAACGCACTCAAACACACGTACATGGACATGTCTACATAAACACAAGAATGTGTTCGTCAAGCGGGCACAACAGAGACAAGGGTCCATCCTCTGGATACGTGTACCTCTCAGCGAAACGCAAAGTCGCTTTTGATACTTGTTCAACTTCACGTGCGCCGCTTGGCGATGCATTGAAGACCTCCATAGGTTTATGGTTAATTGCGGCTCATTCAGCTTTCCTTTGGCATGTCTACTTGAGAACATCTTAGAGACTAGTGTTGTTGTGCTTGCATTGTAGTTGCAGACCATATCGTAATTCTTCCCTGTTTTCGAAATCTAAAATGTTATATGTTAGCAAGTTCTGCTTCTGTATTCCTAAATATACTACCATATGTAGAGCTAATCCTGGGATCAAGGGAATGGGGACCTTTTTTAAAAAGTGTTTTTCGAAGAATCTCTCATGTTTAACTGGCCGGACATTCTTAGACTACAATAGTTGTTTTCCTCCAGCACCTATGAACCAACTTCTTGTTTCCAGTTTGCGTGCCTGCAATGTTTTGGCTGAATTGACATGAAGAATAGAAGCCATGTCCATGAAAACCTGTATATGGTGGTGCACATAAGTATAAATGAGAGGATTTCATCTCATGAATTTTCCTACATATTAGACAAGCATTGGGTCATGCTTCATCATCGTTTTACCCTCTGCTACCTGAGATAGTCCAGCATAGTCTACACTGTTCGGTTTTAATTCCCTCACATGAGAGAGATTCATATTGAGGTTTAAGCATTTTATCCAAATTCTCGTGTGGCGTGACTTTATTAATAAAAATAAGAATTATCTGAACCGACACATTTTGTCCCAACAAGTAGCGCGTTTATTTATTCCAATTGCATTAAATTGTGAAGCTCTGGAAGCAACGAATTCATTGTAGGCACTTTTTGCGTCATCGTCGTTGGTGACGCATTTCTCGCACAGGAAATTGCCAAGGTGTTTGAAGAAGTGATATCGGTATGTGGGAGGTCTGCTGAATATGGCGAATGAATCAGTTTCGTAGCCGTACTCGTTCAACTTCTGCAGCACAGATTCTGCAATGTGAGTTCGGGCGTTGTCGTGGAGAAGGATTGGCCCTTTTCTATTGACTAACGCTGGTCGTGTAGGAGTTGACGGTGCATTTCGTCGATTTGTTGGCAATACTTCTGTGCCGTAATGGTTTCGTCCGGATTCAAAAAGTTGTGATGAATCAGCCAGGTTGTAGATCACCGAGCAGTCGCCGTAACCCTTTTGGTGGAATTTCGGATTAGGGAGGTGATGAGGAGTCTCATCGCAATTTAACCATTGAGCTGAACGTCGCCGGTTGTCGTACAGAATCCACTTTTCGTCGCAAATCACAATTCGATCGAGAAAAGGGCCGGTTTTATTGCGCAAAATAAGAGCAGAAGACACTTGAAAACGGCGATTTTTTAAAATTATCGTTTGATTCGTGAGGTACACACTTGTCAACTTTTTTTCCTTCCTATGCGATTCAAATGGGTGGAAATTGCTTCTGTGCTTATGCCAAGCTGCTCTAGCTCTCGAACGACTGTTCGCGGGTTTGCTTCCACTGGTACTTTCAGTTCGTCGTTGTTAACTTCACTGCGACGTGTTCAGCCTTCCTTATTTTCAAGGTCGACATTACCAGATCGGATTTCCATAACCATGTTCGCACTGATCTTTCACCAGCACTGCCTTCACCCCAAACTTCTTTAATGCATCGCTTGTCGAAGGACTGAAAAGCTGTGCCGAGTTAGCTTCAGTTCCTCAACCAAGAAGATCGGATCGCATCTCCATCACTACTAAGGTGTTGCTCGAAAAGAGAAGGAAACTGAAAATTGATCCTAGTGCAACACGTTTAACATGGCTAGTAATAAATGTCAGCTGCAGAAGAGCTTTGCAGGAAGATCTACAACGTTACAAGTATAAGAAAATATTGGAAGCAGCAGAGAAAAGAAGAAGTCTTAAAAAATGTTGTCCGGACTTGTGTGATTATAATGTTCCGCTGTCAGCCCTGATGAATGAAGATGGGATCGTCAAAACTTTAAGCCATGATATGGAATTAATAGCGGAAACTTTCTACACCAACCTTTTCCGTTCCACAATCTCCGTCCAGGGCCCTAATATCCCTGCTGGAGAAAAACTACCTGGAATTCCTCTATCGCAGCTTCGAGTTGCGATAGAAAGCATGTAAAGAGGCACAGCTCTAGGACACGATAATATCACTGCTGATTTCCTTAGAGCTGGAGGTCACGATTTACATGTAATGGAAAAAGTCCCAGACCAGTGGAGAACGTCGCGCACGGTCATCCTGCCCAAGAAAGGAGACCGAAGGGATCTTCGTAACTATCGTTCCATATTCTTGTTAAATGTATTCTACAAGCGCTTCACGAAGATTATCCCTTCCTTCATATCAAGGACATTGGGTGAGGCGCAACCAGTCGAGCGAGCAGGATTTCGAAAAGGATTTTGCTGCATGGACCACATCCAAACGATATCCAGGGTCATCGAAGTTTGTTGGGAATACCACTTGCCTCTAGTCCTAACCTTTGTTGACTATGAAAAAGCGTTTGACAGTGTCGAAACGAATGGAGTCCTATCAGCGCTCGTCGACCAAGGAGTGGAGCCGTCCTACATAAGGGCTCTGTCCGACTGTTATCGGAGCTGCACTACGAAGATGCAGCTTCCCATCGACCTCCTACAATACTCATAGGAAAAGGGGTTCTACAGGGCCACACAATAACGCCAAAGCTGTTCAGTGCCTCATTGCAGTGGATAATGAAGTCACTCGATTGGGATGAGAAAGGTATACGTATTGATGAAAAATTCCTAACAAACCGTCGTTTTGCCGACGACATTGTCATCTTCTCAAGAAGTACTAGTGAAGTAGATGTGATGATCAACGAGCTCAACGAAGCGGGGAGAAAGATCGGACTTCGCATAAAACGAAAGAAGACCCAGTTCATGAAAAACCAACGGTGTGAAGGCGGAAAAATTGACTTGGATGGCTCTGTCATTGCAGAGACCACCTCGTTCGTTTACCTCGGGAGGTCAATGAACATGGAAAACAACATGAGGGAGGAACTAGATAGAAGAAGGAGAGCAGCTTGGGTCGCATTCGGGCTTTTCAAAGAAGTTACTGAAAACTGAAGGACCCGAGAATCTGTGCTCATCTCTTCGAATCTACGGTCCTCCCAGCTCTCTGTTACGCTGCAGAGAAGTGGGTTGATAATTCAGCCATGTCAGGAATACTTCGCACTATTCATAAAGCTCTTGAGCGATGTCTTCTAAATATAACCGGCACTCTCAATATCTAACGGGAATGGGAAGCTCTGACCTTCGAAATCTGTCACATCTTCGAGATCCAGGAGAATATACATCGACAGTGAAACATAGATGGGCCGGTCACATACTGAGAAGAGCAGAGGACAGATGAATGAAAAGAACAGCAGAGTGGACTCTGAAAGAGAGTGAAAACAACATGAAGGAGGAACCCAACAATCATGGACCATCGACTCGGATCATCGGCTCTGAGGAAGACGAAGACGTCATATGATGGCCGATAATAGTGGCAGTCTTGGCCTTTGATGTTTTTCGAGCGGCATGTTTATCGAATTCGAGGACTTCTCCCTTCTAGTTGTCGAGGCTCGATAGTAGGTTGATGAGAAGCTTGGCAATTTGCTAGGTGAAAGAACGTATGTAAAATTCAAAAAAATTCAACCGTAGACATCGACGATACAGTATGGATACTCGGTTGCCCAATCGCTTTGCAGTTCAAGTTGCAATCTCTGACAAAAAGTTGCATTCTTTAGGAAAGTCAGATTTTATATTGGTGGAATGAAGAAATTTGACTATTTTGGCGAAAGCTCTACTCATCTTTGCTTCAGTAAATAGCGTTCACTAAAAACTTGGATAATTTCGTTAAAAATTGAAAGGCAGTACTTCTACCTGGTCCGTAAGATTAGTCCCATGCACGGTGGCCATTTGGTGGTAGACCCACCAAATCGATTGCAAGGGGTAGAAGAATGAATAATTTCAGGAACTTAGATCCAACAAAAATTCATAGAGTTCTAACTAGGCTTGTGAATGCCGTGTTCTCTGTGTTTGGTGTATGCCAAGAGTCAAACAGTGCAAGCTGTTGGCCCGTCTATATTTTGTCGACAACTGCAATGGAGGAGACCAGTTGTAGGGTTGAGACCAGCTGTCGAACGGCTGAATACAGATTTCCACGGAACCTGCGGTCTTGGTAAAAACGAGTGCGTTGTCAAGTCCTTCGTGCCATTCAGAGGTCGGGTCGCGCTCCGACAACACATTTCACATGAAAGACAGATAAATACAGGACTATGAAGCACTCTCATGCATATGAACGTCGAGGGAAGGCATTGTGCATATGTCGATGAATTAATTGGCTGCTTTCCAGGTATTTCCTCAGTACATCTGGTGGGGAAGTCTTAGGTACGTCACCTCCAAAAAAATCTCATTTGCTTCTTCCAACGGCACTTCAACCTGATTATACTTATCTGCTTTAAGACTTATCATCTCCTGAATCGACGTGTGTCTTGGCACAAGTAGGATTTCGTTTTTGGTCTTCGCTTCATCCTCCCTCAAAAAGTGCATAAAACTTGTTTATCTAAGCGGTAACATCGTGACTGGTTGGGCAGTGTTGACGTGTGCGGAATTGATCTCTCCTGATCCTCCTCCGATCACCTTTCGGATGTGAAAAAGATGCTTTTCGTTCACAGATAACTCGTATTAAGAAATTTGTTTATTGTTCCCATGGACTAAAACTTGCCTCCGATAGTTTTAATCTTCTTAAAAATCTGCCGATCTACTTCGAACGTTCGTGAACGGATCCAAGTCCGTTTGAGCCCATGTTAGTTGTTATAGAACTCATGGCGCAGCTGCTCTGATCAGTCGGTTTTACACGTCCTTTCATGTTTGCTGATTTCTAAATAATCACTCACCTTGTTCCATGAAGCCTTTTTATCTACAGCTGATAATTTGTTTAATCAAATGATAAGATAACGTTCTTCTTTTTTGAAAGTCTCTCTTTATAGTTGAACTAATTCCATTCGGAAATGGCTCATCCTTTTGCCTCCGTGGATTATCAAGAAGTGGTGGCATCGATAGAAAGATTGCGTGATCGGATACTGGTATTAAATGCTCAAGTCCCTAATCTCGTCAGCACAATGGCTACGAAAGTAAGTTCTGTCGCTTTAATTTTACCAGCATGGTTACGCCAATTTGCACTAATGTCTGTAACGTCCTGAGCTACGTACTCGTACTCAACGGCAAGGACAAATAGACAATTTGAAATAGGAAGAGACACGTTTTTCACATTGTGTTGATGAATTCATCAAGCAGATTACGATATCATGAGAAGACGCTCAAAGTTTGTGATGGTCCCGCCTCACGGTTACTTACTCGCTTGATACTTGAACGGCACGTCCTCACTGCTTGTGCGGGCCCCAGCATAATCACCATTTTTCGGAGATTTTCTGGTTAGGCCATTGTGGTTTCTTGCAATCCCGAAGTCAGCCTGGCCAAATTCTTTCTGTTATCATCCTTTTTTGTAGCAGCCGTATGTCGCGATTATGCAACTTGACCGGCACGTCGCATCACTTAACGTACAACTAGTACAGTTGAAACATAAAGTAAGTGAGTAGTGTCTCCTTTTTGCTGCTTATGTGGCTTACTCAAAATCTTCCAAGCTATTTATTTCTTCTTA